AGGAGTAATGTTAGTAGTGGTAGTTGTTTCTGTTGTGGCAGGAGTAATGTTAGTAGTGTTAGTAGTTGTGGCAGTAGTTAGTAGTGGTAGTTGTTGCTGTTGTGACAGGAGTAATGTTAGTAGTGGTAGTTGTTGCTGTTGTGGCAGGAGTAATGTTAGTAGTGGTAGTTGTTGCTGTTGTGGCAGGAGTAATGTTAGTAGTGGTAGTTGTTGCTGTTGTGGCAGGAGTAATGTTAGTAGTGGTAGTTGTTGCTGTTGTGGCAGGAGTAATGTTAGTAGTGGTAGTTGTGTTGTGGTAGTAATGTTAGTAGTGGTAGTTGTTGCTGTTGTGGCAGGAGTAATGTTAGTAGTGGTAGTTGTTGCTGTTGTGGCAGGAGTAATGTTAGTAGTGGTAGTTGTTGCTGTTGTGGCAGAGGAGTAATGTTAGTAGTGGTAGTTGTTGCTGTTGTGGCAGGAAGTAATGTTAGTAGTGTGGTAGTTGTTGCTGTTGTGGCAGGTTAGTTAGTAGTGGTAAGTGTTAGTAGTGGTTGTTGCTGTTGGGCAGAGTTGGTTGTTGTTGTGGCAGGAGTAATGTTAGTAGTGGTAGTTGTTGCTGTTGTGGCAGGAGTAATGTTAGTAGTGGTAGTTGTTGCTGTTGTGGCAGGAGTAATGTTAGTAGTGGTAGTTGTTGCTGTTGTGGCAGGAGTAATGTTAGTAGTGGTAGTTGTTGCTGTTGTGGCAGGAGTAATGTTAGTAGTGGTAGTTGTTGCTGTTGTGGCAGGAGTAATGTTAGTAGTGGTAGTTGTTGCTGTTGTGGCAGGAGTAATGTTAGTAGTGGTAGTTGTTGCTGTTGTGGCAGGAGTAATGTTAGTAGTGGTAGTTGTTGCTGTTGGAAGTAATGTTAGTAGAGGAGTAATGTTAGTAGTGGTAGTTGTTAGCTGTTGTGGCAGGAGTAATGTTAGTAGTGGTAGTTGTTGCTGTTGTGGCAGGAGTAATGTTAGTAGTGGTTGTAGTTGTTGCTGTTGTGGTAATGTAGGAGTAATGTTAGTAGTGGTAGTTGTTGGTAGTGTTGCTGTTGTGGCTGTTGTTAGGTGGTAGGAGTAATAATTAGTAGTGGTAGTTGTTGCTGTTGTGGCAGGAGTAATGTTAGTAGTGGTAGTTGTTGCTGTTGTGGTAGAAGTAATGTTAGTAGTGGTAGTTGTTGCTGTTGTGGCAGGAGTAATGTTAGTAGTGGTAGTTGTTACTGTTGTAACAGGAGTAATGTTAGTAGTGGTAGTTGTTGCTGTTGTGGCAGGAGTAATGTTAGTAGTGGTAGTTGTTGCTGTTGGGGCAGGAGTAATGTTAGTAGTGGTAGTTGTTGCTGTTGTGGCAGGAGTAATGTTAGTAGTGGTAGTTGTTGCTGTTGTGGTAGAAGTAATGTTAGTAGTGGTAGTTGTTGCTGTTGTGGCAGGAGTAATGTTAGTAGTGGTAGTTGTTGCTGTTGGGGCAGGAGTAATGTTAGTAGTGGTAGTTGTTGCTGTTGGGGCAGGAGTAATGTTAGTAGTGGTAGTTGTTGCTGTTGTGGCAGGAGTAATGTTAGTAGTGGTAGTTGTTGCTGTTGTGGCAGGAGTAATGTTAGTAGTGGTAGTTGTTGCTGTTGTAACAGGAGTAATGTTAGTAGTGGTAGATGTTGCTGTTGTGGCAGGAGTAATGTTAGTAGTGGTAGTTGTTGCTGTTGTAACAGGAGTAATGTTAGTAGTGGTAGATGTTGCTGTTGTAACAGGAGTAATGTTAGTAGTGGTAGTTGTTGCTGTTGTGGCAGGAGTAATGTTAGTAGTGGTAGTTGTTGCTGTTGGGGCAGGAGTAATGTTAGTAGTGGTATGTTAGTTGTGGCAGTGGTAGTAGTGGTAGTTGTTGCTGTTGTAACAGGAGTAATGTTAGTAGTGGTAGTTGTTGCTGGTGTGGCAGGGATAATGTTAGTAGTAAAGAACCCTTTTGTGTGTCTTCAGGCTGTACTGGGCATAGATGTCTAGCCATATATTTTGTAGACCAGTCGAAATTTTGTGGGTGATGTTGTCAAAATCATACCGACCACCTTAACTTCCCAAAACTTGGTACCCAGTTGAGGCTGGTTAGAACTGGGAGACAAAATCATTTTTGAAAAATTCCAATTCCAATTCGTCCAACAAAAATTCCAAATTTGATCCTCTTTCAGCCGCCCGGAGGCCTGCTATATCGAAGAAGGGTCCTTAGCTGTCTTATATGGTTTCCTTTTATTTGTGGTGTGTAATCACACCTGATATTAGGGTTGTTTGCTTCCTTGCTGTGCTGCGGTGATTGTAGTTTTTGGGTTCTGGTGTGATCCAGATCTCTTTGCGATGATATTGACGGGTACTAGCTGACTGTTGCTGGTGGTTGGCTTGCCTCGTGCTGGTCGCTGTGCTGGTGCCCTGTTGCTGCTTGGTTGCCGATCTGTAAGCCGCCGGAAAAAGCCAAACAAACATCCGTTATGAAAAATGTTCCTTTTCAGGACAAACAGGGCCGTCACAATCTGTTGTTGTGATCGGCCCGGGTTTTTTTTTCCCGATGGAGTGTGGAGAAGTAGTGGAGGTAAGATAGACTGCAATTGAGAGATCAGTTTGGCGCCCGGTGCCAGTAGATGTGATTAGAGGTAGGATCCCCCTGGTCGGAGGTCCAGAAATACCAAATGAGCTGCGTTATGGACGTGGACTGGAAAGTGCTGTTCGGTGCTCCCCTCGGCTGGTCTGCTTGGTGAGTCGGGCGGCCTGTGGTATTTGCCAATTCTGTCTTTTTTTCTGAAAATAAAAATAGATTAAGAGTTTGGTCAATGTGATCAAGCGTACATTGGTGGTGGTTGCTCTTCTCCGTATTCCTCGAAAGAGTAGCCGACAATGTAGCGTTCGATGTCGTCGAAATACTCCATCGTGTGCGGAGCCGCCTGCTTGTTGTAATCTTCAACCCTCGCTTTAAGGTCGTCGAAGCTAGTTATTTTGGCTGCTGCTGTTTGGCTCACGCGTGGGGTGGCTGGCAGTCTGATGGGTGCCTCGCTTCGTTCTTCGATTGTCGTGGCATCTGTCATCTGTGCCTGGTGTTGCATCATTACCGTTTCGGTAACTGTACTTTTGTCGGCTTTGTTGATTATTGGCTGCTTTACAACTTTTCTGGAAGCCTCTCTTTCTTCTCGCAGGGCACGCTCCGTTCTTGACGCCAGCACTGCTGCTTCGGCTCCTGCCTTTGCTTGGATCATAAGGGCGACTTCTTTATACGTGCTTTCTCGGGCTTCCTTAAGTGCTTCGGTTTCCTTTCTTCTCTCCTCCCTTTCTTCTTGTCGGCGGGTCTCGTCTGCAGCTTTTTCTGTTTGTAATTTTATTGTAATTTCTGTCAGATTTTTGCTGCATTTGTGCAGCCTCTGCTAGCCACTTTGTTTGCTGCAAGACTTGTTCTTGTCTGTCGTCTTTCAAGGCTTTGATTTCGTCACGCATCTGCGAAATCAGGTCTAGCAACTAGGTTCTGTCAGCGTTGGTATCGGTAGCGTCAGATTTGTCTTTGCGGAGAGCTCTGATTTCAGCTAAAATTTCGGAAAATTGTAGCGAGATTTCAGGGTCCTTTGCGGCTGTGATCGTCTTGTCGGTTCGTCTGTCTGATGTCCGTTGTGCTGGCTTCCCACTCGGTTGCTTTGGTGCTGCTAAGGACCTGGGTGCCACGTATCTCTGTCTAGCTGCTTCGTGGGCGGTTCTAAGTGTCCTCTTGCACTGCTGGAGATACGGGCAGCCCATGTATCTCGCGCCGTGCGCACCAGAACAGTTGGAGCACTTGCGGTTGCTGTTCGGTTTTTTAAAATTAGTGTCAATTTTAGCCAGCGGGCACTCCTTGAATTCGTGCGCACCAGAACAGTATCTGCACGAGAGGCTGCTGCGGCAGGACAAAGCTGTATGCCACGCCCTATTGCAGCGCGAGCACTGCATGATGTCTGGTGTGCTGGTCTAAGGCTGCCGCTGCATTCGTTGGCGAGGGGGTCCTTGCGTCGCTACTGAGGCGGTATCAGGCACCACTGAAAGGTCGGCTCCCGGGGGAGCGGCCCTCTGTGCTGGTGAAACTGGTGTTTCAATCGTAATGGGCGCAGTGTCCATTTTCTACGGCGATTATAAAAGTTCTCGAATTTATTTAGAGGTTAAACGCACGCCCTAGGTTTCAGTTTAAAAAGTTTATAATGTAAATTATAATTACCTAGGGCGTTGTTCCTTCCTCTGTTGATTCTCGAATACACTGGTCACCGGTGTAGATCTTTGTTGCTGGTAGTTGTCGTTGGCTAGGTGTGTACACGAGATGCTAATGACCCACCCGCAGCCGACTCCGATAGTTTAGTCGAGACAGACTCAGCCGAATATCAAGCGAATCTGTCCAGTAGCTAGCTATCGAAAATCAGGCAACGAATGGATAGTTAGCGGGCAACGTGATCAGGCGAGGCGGGCTTGAGCGTTCAACGTCTTGCTCGGGCGAAAGCTGTCAGCGAAAAAACAAAAAGGTTCAGCTTTATTCAGATTTGAGCCCAAGCCTTCGAATCCACAGGCGAGGGTCTAGTGGGGGCCTAACAGATACACCACGGTGGTACCCTACTAGTAGTACTATTATTATTATTATTGTAGGCAGCAGCAACACTATTAGCAGCAGCAGCAGCAGCAGTTGTAGTACTAGCAGTAGGTAGCAGTAGTACCAGTAGTAGTAGCAGTAGCAACAGAGTAGTCGCAGTAGTAGTTGCAGTAGCAGTAGTAGTTGTAGTAGTAGCAGCAACAGTAGTAGTAGTATTAGTAGTAATTGTAGTGGTAGCAGTAGTAGTAGTAGCATCAACAACAACAACAACAACAACAACAACAACAACAACAACAACAACAACAGCAGCGGCAGAAGTAGTAGTAGCGTTAGATACCAAAAGCGGTAAAAGCATTCCTACAGAAGCAACAGTAATATCTCACTTCTAGTTCTAGCGGTTTAACTAACATTAACGGAATCGCCATCGACAGATTCAACGTGAACCTGGTGTGCGGAGGCTCCCAACCCGAACACCACGACGTGGCCTTCACCTTTGACGTCCGCTTCAACTTCAGTAGCAACCGCAACCAGGTGGTTCGAACCCACAAGGCCGGGGGCAGCTGGGGCCCTGAGGAGCTGGACCAGAGCTACTTCCCGTTCTCCGGAAACGTGCCTTTTGAGATAGTGATCATCGTGGAGCACCATGGGTTTAAGGTCAGTGACTACTTATTCTAGGGCCGCGTTAGCGCAGTCGATAGGAAACTCGCTTTCAAATCTAGCTGCGACTCGCTGCAGCCCACGGTTGGTGTTCCAAACCTGGCGATTTCCGGGGCTCACCCAGCCTCTAGGAAATGGGTACCAGAGTTAACACTCTGGGGTAAATGGAGGAACGTTGCTGTAGCTACAGCGTTGCTTGCGAACGGCGACACAGACGGACAATTTCTTATCAGCTGTCCCTTCTTGTGGCAGAGCACTTATAGTTTCTAACCTTGTGCAATGACGCTGGTTCACATCTCCCGACTTTTTACTTTCTCGACTGCTTATTCTTAACTTTCCCAGGCAATAAGAGTTTCTTAGCAAAAGTGAAATCGGCAAGAAGCTGACATGGCTGTTTACTGCTCCATTTTTGAGCCAGTCACTTAGCTTAGTATCTCGAAGCAGCCAGGTCGATGTCTTGCCAGTAGACACGGGGGGGAGAAGAATAAGTACCCTCGGAGAATGCCAGGGGTGGTAAATGAAGGGTTTTAGATAAAACTTTAATCAGTTCCATCACCTAGGATTTTAAGCGAAACTATGTTGGCAGTTCAGTCCTTTAGGTGTTAACATGCCGAAAGTGAAAATAAGGCGATTTTCTAGAGACTTGCGGACTTTGTGTCTTGAGTGACTAGATTTGATGGCTGTCACCTCCAAGTCGTCGACACTTTGGAGATTCTAGGAATTGAATTGCAATGGTACTGGTTTAAAGGCAACGTTTTGCACATCGAAAAGATGTCTGATTCTGTCACCAGTCCAAAATGGAGGCACGAAAACACACATGGATTAAGTGAGTCAGTATGTATTTTTCTCTGCTATATAGGCCTAGCCCTACATGCCCAATACACCCTAAGTGTGGAGAAGGGTGCTTTAACTTTTTGTTTACTTACTGCTTTAAAACTAAACAGCAATACATGTTTGTAAAATTTTAAGGGTGTGTCAGTGAGCCTTTCTGTGAGTGTGAGTATATATATGTGTGTGTGTGTGTGTGTGTGTGTGTGTGTGTGTGATAGAGGGTTGCGCGCGCGCCGTGAGTGTGCAAAGGGACACGAGGAGGCCCAAGCTCCATAAGGCCATCAACCCTCCGCCCCTTTTCATCCCGCGCAAGAAGGTGTTGTAGATGACTATCCCCCCCACCCCCTACCCAAACTATGCTTTGAATTTCTCTTGGTCAGTTTGCAATTCATATTCTTTCAATTATATTTTTATATTGATATTCGCCCCATATATATATATACATTTATAAAACGTATTCTTCTCCCTTTTTAACCCCCAGTGGAGCATAGGCGCTCAACCAACTCACGCCAAGTTGTCCTACCCTTCGCTATCTTTTAACTTAACTTTCTAGTTCCCTTCTCCGTGCATTTTTTCCCCTTATTTATTTATTTGCGCCTGTGGGTTCTGGCACGAAGTCATTCTAGTTACATTAAAAAAACTGCACACAAACAATTTTAGAGCCCCCCCCCCCCCCCCCGACACCCCTTTCCCTGTTTTCTCCCACATCCGGCGTGTGTGTGTGCCAGTGTGTGTGTGTGTGTGTGCGCGCGCGCGCGCGCCCAAGTGTTATATTAAACTCACTGGTATATCAACTATTGTCGTTTCATTAAAGTTTTTATCAAGAAACTGGTGTTGAATGTGTTTGAATCTTTCAATCTACCATGTACAATTAAATAACCCCACTCCACGCCTTTCAGGTTTATTGGGTAAATAGAGCTACACCTATACTTTATAGACTGAACGGCACTTGGTAGATCATGTGGTCAGCATCACGCCAACCGCTTTTACTTCCTATGTATTACGTGGTAGCCACTCAAGGCTGGGTCGATTTGGAAACCAAAGTCATTTTAAAAAAATGTCTAGACCCCCATCAGGAACCGAACCCACCACCATCCGATCCGGAGGCGAGCATATAGCCGCTAGACCACGGCGGCTGCCTCAATCTACCCTAGGTTAGTTGCGTATGCTTTACAGGACGTTGTAGAACCAACCCCCCACTGCCCCTGGCAGTTGTGTGGTTTTTCTAGGCAAATTTACATCCAGTAGTTTGCTATTGCTTTCTGGACGGTCAGCTTTCTTTATACCACTGTTGAAACCAACGCAAGGCGCATGCCCGGCAGTTGGGATCGAACCCGGCAACCCGGCATTACGAAACGTTCGCATCGACTTAGCCACAGAGCCGACCAGTAAATAGGGCTATTCCTAAATTTTATAGATTAAACTGCACTTGGTGGGTGATAAGTCAGCATTACGCTGGCCGCCTTCACTTCCCAGGTCTGTATGTGGTACCCACTCAAGGCTGGGTCGACTTGGGAGCCAAGGTCAGTTTTGAAAAAAAGTCTAGTCCCCTCAGGAACCGACCTAAGACCTTCCGATCCGTAGGCGAGCGTTTAACCGCTTGACCACGGCGGCTCCCTCAGTCTACTATAATGATTAGGAATAATGTTGACAATAATCGATGTGTTCCATTTCTCCTGTCTAGATTCACGTGAACGGCCAACATTTCACCGACTTCCACCATCGAATCCACCCCATCCAGAGAATCACCCACCTCAACGTGGAGGGTGATGTGAGGCTGACCCAGGTCAAAGTTTAAAGTTCACAGTGTCCTGATAGCCGTAAAGGCCACACATTCCGATAAAACTAAAAGAGCAAATTCAAATAGGAGTATTCATGTTCATCATAATTTAGTAGTAGTAATTTAAACAAATTTGAGTCATGGGCAATGACAGCAGCTCACAGAAGCCAGCTTCAGGCCTCAGAAATGAGATATCTGAGAAAGGTGATCCAAGTGATAAGAAGGTAGAAAGTCGGCAGTTAGACAATACCTTAAGATCTTAAACCCAATCCTTACAATTCCGAGTGGGGCAGTCACAGTTACGATGGTGTGGACATGTTTGCAGAATGGGAGGCTAAGAATCAGGAAATCAGACTTCCTGAGCGACCACTGGTCCTTTGGGAAGACAACATCCCACAGTACCTAACTGACAGAGGACTGGAATGGAACAGAGCCAGAAAGTAAAATGCGATCTCTCTGGCAAACCTCTACACCCCACAAGGTAGAAGAGGAGAGAAAAAGTAAAGTAGTAATTTAAACAAAAAAATATCCTGTTGACTCCATCTGAAAATATAGTTTGTTTTTTTTAATACCAATTAAGTTTTTTTTTTTTTTTAAATTGCACAGATCATGTACAACTTTTGACAGACTATAGGAGCAAAGATTGTTCTTCTTCTGTTGTCATCTGACTGATACCAAGTTGTAGCCCAGTGTTGTGGTTTTCTGTATTTGTCTTGCCCTTTTCTGGTGGCTTGGGTGATGGATTTGTTCGTCCTTCTGCAGGTTTCTACAACAATATTTATCCATATCTTACTTGGTCTTCCTCATACCTTTTTTCCAGATGTTCTGCTGTAAAAAGCCTCATATACAGTTTGGTCTGGGTGCAGTCTCACTAGATGGCTGAACGATTTCATTCTTTGTCTGCAAATATAATCCAGACATGGTCTGATTCCGACTTTCTTTCTAATGCTGGTATTCGTAACCCTGTCTCTTCTTGTGTCGTTAGTGACCTTGCTGAGACAGCACAATTTCACATGTAGGTATTTTCTGTTCTAGTGCACTTTTGATTGTCCATGTTTGGCGCTGTTAACATTAAGATGCTATTAATCATTTGCTGTTTTGCTGGAAGTCATAAATCTATGTTTTTAAGCAGCGGTGCTAACTGGTAGGTGACAGCATTTGCCTTCTGTACTCTGGCTTACGTCTGAAAGACTGTAAAGTTTATATTATTATGAACGCTTTGTTTTATACAAATGTGATAATAACACTGTAAATAATATGTTGGGGTATTTAAAATGATCTGGGATGACACTGTTCTGTCTTAAGTTATATTAACACCTCGTATACAAACCTTTGTTGTTTTAACGTGCTTTTTAATCCGTTCCTGGAACTGTATGTTGCATAATATTGATGGTTAGATGCAACTGATTTTACTGTTGTTGTTGATTCAATAAGATACAACCAAAAACTTTTCTGTTAGAACTATATACGGAAACTTCTACACCTTGAACATAATTGATTGTCATGACTGGATAGTTAAGCGAGTGAGGAATACAAAATAAACTTACGGGCATTGCATTCTTTTGTTCTTTAAATTACATTTGAATGATTTATTTATTTAGATGTTAGAATTTGCTCTTTTTAAAAAAGAAAAAATTCATTTTTTTAGTTCGTTGTTTTGTACGTATTTCAGACGGTTACTATATGTTTTCTGTAGCTTAAGTGTTGCGAACGCGCTCCATAATGCCGGTGTGCCGATTTCTATCCCAGCTGTGGACGATTTGTCTCGTGTTGGTTTTGACAGTGGTACCGAGAGCTGACCATTCAGGGAGCAATGGCAAACTACTGAACGTAAAACTGACCTAGAAAAATTACAACAGTCAAAATAATGCTTTTGTTGGTTCTGCAACGTCCAGTAAAGGTTACACAACTAGCTCTCTGTTTTTTTGCTACAGGACACGAATTGAATTATCCTCCGAATAACGACCACATATTATGGCGGCTAAAAACACATCCTGACAGGGCCTCATTAGGTCGCGTGTTGTAAACATTTAAAAACTTGAACTCGAAAATCATTAGGAACGAAAAAAAAAATGGAAAAATACGAAATCGACTACTCGATAATTGAGGCCTTTATATCTGAAAATAGTGGCACATGAGTTGCAAATAGTGACCGAAAATCTTCTCTTTGATGCTGTGGTGCCATTGAAACTCGGCTAAATATGATCAGTGCCGCATTGGTAACGCAGTTCTCACCTCCGAGAGTTTCTCCATCGCCGCTAGGCGCGGCGCGGAGCGGATAGGGGGCTAAACTAGATGGCTGGGACTCACGAGCAAATAAATTGGAGGACGTTGCAGGAGATGCGGTAGCTGTTACACGGCTGTGAGTGTAATCGGAAGAACACTAACCTGCGTCGGAGCGCGTCGTCTTCCCGCCATGTCGCTATTTTCGTGTGTATTGTTGCGTTTCTCGAAATTGTCAATGGACAGTAATCCTAGTTTTGCCGCGATGTGTTCGTCGGAGGAAGTCCGCAATTGACATGTGATGGAGGCCCTGTCACCCTGTCAGGGTGTGTTTTTGGACGCCATAATATGTGGCCGGTATTCGGAAGATAGCCCGAATTCTAAGAGACTGAAAATTGGATTCATGTCAACTATAAATTGTCCTAACTGAGGACAATTAATGATACATCCGTGATAGAACCATGCTGATGTTAACTGAGTGTTCTTCTTAAGCGAGTTCTGAGTTTTTGTTTTGGATGTTTAACTGCACTTGTTTTATAGACTTGTTTAAAAACAACTTATTTGCTTTAAACTTGTTTCGTTCCGCTCGTTTATTGCACTTGTTTGTTTTATTGTTGATTTCACTGTCAGATTTGCTTATTTGTTTAAATTATTTATTTTGGTTAGATTGTGGAATTTTATGTTATTATTTTTTTTTTTTTTCATCCTGTTTAATTCACTTGTTTGTTGCACATCATTTAATTAATTTGTTTCATTTGTTTGTCGCACATCTTTGTTTTCCTTATTTGTTTCGCATTATTGTTTCACTTTTTTTCGTTTATTGCAGTCTTTCCCAACTTGAGGCAAACCCCACGGGGTGGCAATTAGTTTGTTAAGAAGGCAATTAGAAAATGTACTCCAGAATTTAAGTATTGTGTGTATGTTACATGGTGGACATACGCATTTTTGAAAGGCTTAGGTGGGACATAGCACACACAACAAATGTTTGGAAAACACTGATTTATTGCAGATTTTTTTTTTTTTTTTTAAATGTCAATGCATGTGTTTGTTCTCAAGCCGCTTCACTTGTTAGTTTCAAATAATTGTTATACACCCCCCCCCCCCCCACCACCAGTCCCACCTCTTCCACACTTTTGTATGCTTCACTTTTTTTTTCTTCTTTCCAAAATTTCACAAGCGGCGTCCGTGGCTTGGGCCTTGCGAGTCCGACTCGCGGATTTTTATCATGGTATGGGGCGACGCAGTTCGACCCAGGTTAAAATAGGTACCAGGATGTATGTACTGTGGAATTAAAGACGGCTGGCGTAATGCTGACCACATTACCCACCCAGTGCTGATTGGTTTTTAAAAATATGGGTCATCTTCCCATATGCCCAATGCGCCTAAGGCGTGAAAAGGGATCTTTACTTTTACATTTTATTACTTGTTATTTTACTTGTGTTCCCCCCTCCCCCCTCACCCCCGCCTCACTTTAATTCCGCCTATTTTGCGCAGGCAAGAGTTTATAGCATTTGTATTTTCTGTTTCTTCTTCTTTCTTGGATCCTTCTACCAGAACACATCTTGGATCCTTCTATCTGAAAACATCTTGGATCCTTCTACCTGAAAACATCTTGGATCCTTCTACCTGAAAACATCTTGGATCCTTCTACCTGAAAACATCTTGGATCCTTCTACCTGAAAACATCTTGGATCCTTCTACCTGAAAACATCTTGGATCCTTCTACCTGAAAAACATCTTGGATCCTTCTACCTGAAAACATCTTGGATCCTTCTACCTGAAAACATCTTGGATCCTTCTACCTGAAAACATCTTGGATCCTTCTACCTGAAAACATCTTGGATCCTTCTACCTGAAAACATCTTGGATCCTTCTACCTGAAAACATCTTGGATCCTTCTACCTGAAAACATCTTGAAACCTTCTACCTGAAAACATCTTGGATCCTTCTACCTGAAAACATCTTGGATCCTTCTACCTGAAAACATCTTGGATCCTTCTACCTGAAAACATCTTGGATCCTTCTACCTGAAAACATCTTGGATCCTTCTACCTGAAAACATCTTGGATCCTTCTACCTGAAAACATCTTGGATCCTTCTACATGAAAACATCTTGGATCCTTCTACCTGAAAACATCTTGGATCCTTCTACCTGAAAACATCTTGGATCCTTCTACCTGAAAACATATCAGGAGGCTAGTAGCCTTTATGAACACTATCGTGCATTCTGTATTTCCTCATGTACCACATCGCTTTGTCTTGCAGTCTGTTAGCAGTTGGTTCTATGTGTTTCTGCTTTATTCAGCAGTACTAGTATGATATTAGCTCTGCGACGTTACTGCGTTTAAAAGAATATAAGATGGATAGATGGGTGCCCCCGTGTGGGTTCCGAGGCCCCATTGTGGGGAAAACAAGAATAAACCCACTGCCTCCCCCAAAAGCATGTCGTAAGAGTCGACTAATTGGGGAGCTTTCTTTGAAGTCGGAGTGCATCTGCCGGAGAGGCAAGGAACCAACAGTATGTATTTAATAGAATGAGATCTGTAAAATTGATGCACACGCAACACTTAGGTTCTGGAGCAGGACTGCAGTTCAGTAGTGGACGAGCAACCAGAACCTTCCGCCAGAGTTTACAGCTGGTGAACGCGAAGAAGAAGAAGAAGAAAAAGGATAAATGGGTGGATGGATATATAGACAGGGTAAAAGGTTAAGTCGGAAGATGTGAACCAGCGTCATTGCACACGATTGTAACACATAAGTGCGCTGCCACCAATACGGACAGCTGATAAGAAACT